CAGAAGGTCAGGCTGTGGTCAGAAAGGGGGGGAAAAAAAAAAAAAAAAAGAAAAATCTTACACTTTTCCCCCCTTTTGTCTCTTCTTTCCCCCCTCTGCCCGTCCCGAGACTGCCCCCACCCCCAAAAGCCCACATTTTCCATGACGTCCTTCGATGAAATATTGCAGCACAGGAATTTACAGCCCTCTTCAGCTCAGGATTTTTTAGGAGTTTTCTGGCAGGACCCAGTCCCTGCAATACCAATCGGTTCCAGCGATAGTAAGCTCCGAGCGCTACCGCTGAGACACAATCGCTTCCCACAGAGATCTTCAGAATATCTCCGGGTATTTATATCCCTGCTCGGGGACGGATAGCTAGAATACTTTCCCGGAGGGATGCTTTTCGGCTGGCTGGGATTCAGACCCGAGGACCCGGGTACCGAGAGAAACAGCGGGGCTGAGCCGGAGCGGAGCTGGCACCCGGCGAGTGATGCTCCCGGCCATCCCTCCCTCAGCAAACAAGTTCGCCCTTTAGAGGCGGCCCGAAGTGTAAATCCAGGTGTAAATCCAGATGTAAATCCAAGCTGGCGTTGCTGAGCCATCCATGCTTTCTCGGACAAGTTTTCTTCCCTGGGGGGCTCCTCTAGTGACGGGGCCCGGTGCCGGGGATGCCCCCAAACCAAACAGGACCCTGGGGAAGGGATGCTCCCGTCTCCCAGCTCCTTGGCAGAGCAGTGGGGCACGCAGACAAAATGAGGAGCCATTTCCAGCTTTTCTAGCCCCAAACTGCGGCGGGTTGGCGGTAAAATGGGGACGGCGGTGCCGGAGAAACATTTCGATCCGCCGAACTTTTTGGGGTCGGGAATCGCCTCCAGCCCCCGACGTCTCCCGGACCGAAAAGGCCGGCCGGGCCGAGCCGGGCCGGGGATTCCCCTCCAAACGGGGAGGACGAGGGGCTTCCCCGGGGCTTAACCTTATTTCCAGGCTTATTGAACTTTTTTCGTTGTTTTCTTCCCAACTTTAAACCCAAACCCCGTCGAAATCTCACCGGTGTGCCCGTGCTAGCGGAGGGGGGCATTTTTAGCGTCAGGCAGGCGAGGGCCACCGGCCCCCCGTTTCGGGCTATCACACAAAATCCGTCTGCACGGAGAGGTGAGAGAAGTTAAAACGGAATTGCCCAAATCAAGGAGGAAACCGTTATTTTCTTGCACGGGTACTAGAAGCCGCGGGGAAGGTATATTGTCGGGCTAAATAATAACCAATCGGGCGGGTTTGTCTACACTTAAATAGAGAGAGATGCTGAAAACCCGACGGGTGGGTTTTGGGAAGGATCCGGCCTCCCTGTGCTGCCCCTCGGTGCTCAGTCCCGGGGGACAGCAGTG